AATAAAGTGATCCATTAATTTGTTATGCGTTTAGCAAATATAGTATTGCTCAATGTTAATACCTTCATTTTAATCTATTATTGGAATCACCAGTAAATCGTCGTTGGGAACATGCAATTTCGTCAAAAACATTACGTTACTTCTACGTCTGATTCCTATAATAAAAGTCTGCTTTACAGAAAGGCTCTCCATTGCATAGGTATTACGGCTTTGGTATTACGCCGACACATACATTTTGATGAGTACGTTATACATGTAGGTTAACTATAAAGTTGTAATAGAATTACAAAAACAAATATTTTTGCAAGGTTGAAATGGCTAAATGTATACTACAGCATCGCGATACATTGACAATTCGAATCTTATACCGACCATCATACATATTGCGTCTCGAAAGCGATAATACTTAGCCGATAGGATACATATTTAAGGAAAAGATATTGAGACAAAACCGCGGTTCAAGATAAATCCCACAAACTACACATCACAGACGATCGTATATATCAAACTACTGATGTCTTATACTTATCCATAAAATAATTTCGTGTGATCGTAAATTGAAAAAGAAGTATTGGTGTTAAATGGACAGGTTAAAAATTTCACCTCAGGCGCAACTTAAAACTTTTACACTGTTTAACATTAGTCAGGATCAAACACGCAGACCTCCCCATCTCTATGTCTACGTTTACCCAAAAGAAAAGTGGTATGAACAGAAATGCAGCGTCAACATACAATGTCAACATATTCCACAGCTTCAACATACAATGTCAAAATATATCACAGCGTCAACATGCAATGTCAAAATATACCACAACGTCAACATACAAAAGCAAAATATACCACAGCGTCAACATACAATGTCAAAACATACCACAGCGTCAACATACAATGTCAAAAAAAACCCACCTCGATAGGTAGGGACAAAATATACCACATCATCATCATCCAGACAAAATATCGCAGTATTGTTTTTACAAAATATAATGCACGTACTCTGATACGTCATGCATAACATAGACTTAAAGATGATCCAAGGCATGAACATCTAACAGGTTATGTCTAATAAATTTTAACAGCCTTGTGATTCCGTCTTTGCGTATTGCAGAGTTATCTTCTCTTGGGAGCAGGTATTGATTGTTACGTTATTGGTTTGTGTGAGAAAATTACGTCGTTTTCTCAAAAATTGATGACGTTACTCTCACAAACAAGTGACGTAACAATCAATACCTGCTCCCAAGAGAAGATAACTCTGCAATATGCAAGACGGAATATGTTAGCTTCGATAACGTAGCCTTCTAACGACGAGAGATTTTTTTTTTATATATATATATTGCGTCCGGCCGGGACAGAGGAGGCTGGGTATTTCTATTAATACTAAAGGTAAGGTAACCTTACACAGACCTGGGCTCATATTCATAAAAGCGATATGATGCTCAAGCCTGAATTATGTGCTCAAACCAGCTTTCTGTTGACTTTCAGTTACATGCTTAAATCTTGTCACACAGTCAAATGTGAACATTGAAAACGGCACTTGGCTTTACTCCCTCCAAAACGCTCCCAAATCATTGACGAAGTGTGTTTTATTAATTGATCTCCATAACAAAAACAGAGTTAGAGCGTAGAACTTGGACTGGAGATTGAGAACTCTTCCATGAACACGGACCCTGGTTCAAGAAAGCCTACATGGGGAATATCTGGACAACTATAAGGTGGTGGATTTGGACGGTAACCTCGAAAGTCATTTACCACGAAATATACTGTATCTAAAAAAGTCATTTCGATAATCATATCCAGTAATTTCTTTCCTCAACATCATTTAGGAGGGATGCCAGGGTTGGGGTACCCCGGGTTCATCCCTCTCACATAATGTAACCTCACTCTGTCAATCCCATTAATTCCAATAATAATAATAATAATAATATCTAATTTAATCGAAATCGACATCCAGTAACTAGTAACGATCATCTTCTGTTTAGTCTGGCCATCAAGTCCAAATTATTACGGTCATGAACGGTTCTAACTAAAGTAGAAAACAGACAGACCACAACATCGATACAAAAGGCCGAACTCAAAATACCCAAATACCCGTGTCATAATATAATCCAATAATACAATTGAAGATTAGCACTCACCATACATCACTAAGCAGGTACCCATGGTTTGTCGATCAAGTTGCATTCACAGATGTCCTATACCTCAACGCGAGACATCCAGTCCCACAACAACACTCACACATTAAGGCACCATTTGTCTATTTCGTCTATTAATTAAGGACCTATCCCGGTACCAAATAGGAATACAATGAAAACTATAAAAATTTAATCTTTGGGTACAACATATTTTTTAAAGTATTTTCTATTCTAATCATAAACAGCACTTGAAAACAAATTTTACAAGCTTTCGAAGACAACTGTTTTCTTAAGGATGTACTCTTCTGAGGTTACAATTACGTTCATGTCTCGTTTTGATCTGGTGTAATGGGTCTTGTAATATTTAACAAATTATGATCAAGTTTAATAGCAATCACACATCTGAAAAATATGTCAAAAACTAGATGCCTGTTGTTTGTACAATTTTTTACAAGAATTTAAAACAATTACCAATTCGGTGGCCATTTTGAAAATGTGTATTTATGTGTATTTCTTGCGCTTCAAAAAAGGCCAAAATTTCACCCGTTTTTGACACTGGATTGATCATTTAAATTGTCATTAAGTCGCCATTTTTAATTGTAGCAAGTTCAATTTTGCTGTACAATCATTAAAAATTAGGGGGTAGGGTAACTAAAATCGGCTTTCTGAGTTAAAAGAATAAGATTAAGAAATGTTACTTCTATAATTTAAAAGAAAATAATATTTTCATCAATTCTACAAACATTCATACATATCTGATATAAATTGTATGAATTAGTTCTGCAAATGGTCCAAACCCAAAAAATCACCTAAAATCACATGTTGTTTTAAATTGGTATCTTTGACCGATCATAGCACAAAAACGAACTCACGGACATATTTTATTTTTGCATTTTCTACTATGCCATTAACTCCGTTTTCCAAAAATCCATATAAGAAAAAAAGTTTAATACAGGATTTTTTTTGACTTGAGGTGTACATCCTTAACAGGTGCTTGCAAAATTAGTTTTCAGATATGTCATGTATCAAACGTAACGCATTAATACTTATACTGGCAAACTGATGATCCCATCTCATGTCAAAGGAAATTCGAATACAATGTTACAATCAACCTGGGGGACAGGTAGTTAACAGCTGAGTTAACCATCGTGTCACGTGAAGTAATAACTAGAAATACAAAGTGAGAAGCACCAATATAAAGATTATTTTAAATCAATGCAGGAAGCCAACGTAAAAAAGTGAACACTTACTAAATGAAATGGCTATTTCGATCTTTTTCGGTCTCATGGATGGAATAAAATTTTACAGACACAAGAAAAGATTCTCGCACACAGGACAGGGTTGTTGAGGACGGATGTTTGTAAGCGTGGACTCGACAGGGTTCCGCTGAGCTGTGAAGCTGAGCAGTGCATTTACATTAAGATAACGCAAAAAAGGTAAAACAAAATCAAGTTGGAAAGTCGTAGCTTTTGACAAATCCTTATGTGCGGATCGGGTGACATAAATAAATGACGGAAACTCCAAATATGGACTGATCATAATGCAAAGTGCAGGGGAAGCAACTCTCACAATGATAACCAAGCGTAGTTGAGTGTAATTTGAAGAAAAAAATATATATAGATACGCACACAAATTGCGGAGGACAAAACAAAAATACAGAAAAATAAGTTAACACCACTAGCTTGGTAAATAGTGTTGTACTGTTTAACTTGGTTTATAACTTAAGAATTTCATTAGAAAATCGATTTACAAGACACATAAAATACTACCACAACGGAAAACTCGAATTTATTTATAAAAAATATCATACAGGTACCATGTATATAAAGGTTGTGACAAATGGCGGAAAGAACTTCAAAATAATAAAAACTGAATTTCAAAATCCTAATATAAATGTTTTGATTATACGATTGATGCACAATGACAAAACCAGTCAAAGATTAAGTCAATATAAAAAGAAAACAACAGATGAAATTCAGGAAAAATCAGAACCTTGACTTGTTTGAAGAAGATGCAGGAGATGACATTGCCAACACGATCACTTTTTCGACGCCAATTTCAGCAGACAATACATCGGTAACCTCAATGTAAGTAAGTGTGTTTACTCCAGTCTTTATACATCAGTGTTTTTTTCGGAAAGCAGAACTTACATCTTGAAAACAACTCGATCGCAACACAATTTCACGTTAACACTATAGTTGATGTCTTTGAGGACGTGTACACTGGGCACACACGCAAATTTACAAATAGGTGGTCGATAAACGTATTCCTACAACAAAAATAAATATATTTACAGACACGTAAATGGAATTCTCCGGTAAAAATGAATATTCAAAATGATTCTGTCCGGTTAATGTTTCTCATCCTGTAGTGTTCAGTGTTTTAGCCTTTCAGGACATTGTCAGTGTACTTTTTTTTTCAATTCAAAGTTTTTTTTCTCTATTTTCCACTTGAAAGAGTACAACTATCTTATAATTAAAAGTAACACGGTTCAGTGACCAAATTCCCAAACAGACAGAAAGGAGCCACTGGTTCTAGAGGTTGTCAAATTACAGGCCACACCAATTCAAGTAGGTGTCGATTTCACAAACTTGTAACACGACAAATCTTTACTGAGTTAGATGCCATTTAGCTTGTTGATTTATTAGCAATTAATCGTGTATCTCGTGTATAAGGCCACTCGAATTTTCTTACAAATAATATTTAGTCATATTTTGTTTGCATTAACCGTCAGCTGTATTATCCCCCATTATACTTGACAAAAATGTATGTTTTTTTCTGCCTGAAAAATTACCTTTGTATCTCGCGTCCTATACTACCATTGTGACATCAATGATAACTTCAGAGTTGTTCCAAGCGGTCCAAACTGTGTTCCGAAATACAAAATGTCTGCGCCCTTGGCACGTTGGACTTTGGTCACAGATATGAAGTTTACCTGTATGCGTACTATATAACGACTCTACTGTCGTCGATCAGTGACAACAGATGTTCCGTTTAGCCAAGATGAGCGTTGATCGCTCAGTTCGCCGGTTAAAGGTGAGTGATCGACAATTTTTTATGCAGAGGACGTTTGTTTACGTAACCGCTCACTGTCACTACCAAGTTTTATCATGTTCTGTCACAGATCTCGGGATGTTATTGAACTGTTATTCTACATTTTGCTATGTTGTTTTTTCTTTATAAACTTACTTAACGTTCTTAGATTATTTGGGATGACTTATAGAAAAGGTGTCTAAAAACACGAAACTGAAAGAATGACGAAACACACGGAATGGTATTTCGTGTGGTTCACTGGTTGGTTGGTTGGGAGGGGTTGAGTGCGTTAAATATATCTCCAGTTGATATTCATGAAAGTCCTGTATAACGGAAGAAAGTGATATAGGACTTACTCTTCCGTACAGTGTTAAATAACGCCCCACTGACACTTCTATCCATATTTAAAATAAATGTTAAATAAAGTGAAATGAAAACATATTAAAGTTATTTTTAACATTATGGTTTAAAAAAAAGATCATAGGGGTTCAATTAAGGATGCTTTTAGAATGTCCATGTCCTGTACCCTAGACCTAGACATAAGGAAGACTTATATAATCATTTTTAGACCCTGTGTATGGTTCTGACAAATATTGCTCCTAGTGTTTAGGGGTTTAATCCTAATTCTACCAGGCTTGAAACAGTTTATCAACTGATCTACACATCACATCAAGCTGTTGTTGGCCAAAATCTCTTTTGTTTCTAGCTGGTGTTTGAGTGCATTACATTGTTGTCAATTTGCTGTTTAGCCCGAGTTTCCTGGGGCATATAGATGTCAAAATGTCTAAGTCTGGTGATACAGGTAGGGCAAGAGAAAACTCTGGCTATTTGCTGTTATTCTTTAAAACAGGAGCAGGTTCCTGTGAAAATTTTACAATACATTTGTTTGCATTGCAATTGTCACTATAAGTACAGACTTAGATAATTCCGTGCTATAAGTAAAAATACACGTATAGATAGTGCTCTATAAAATACTTGATCAAAGTCTAAATTTCATCATCTCAGCCATGTATTATATTTGTTACACTGTTTGAAGAATTAAATGTGGACGTTTTGAGATGAAAACTCATACAAATAACTTTAGTCATAGTATATATATATATACATGTAGATAAAACTATATGTATTGTAATAATATGGGAATTATGGACAGCTTCCATTAATTTTTATAGAAACATATAGTACTGCAGATTTGTTTTATCATTGTCAGAGACACTCTATGTATGACTCCCTTAACAAGCTTACTGGGTATAAATATATACTGTACAGGTTTATACCTACACATCTAGATTGTGTATTGGTGTACATGAGGTTACAACGTGTTCTATATATTGACCCCAATGTAATAGTTATTCACCTACATTGTACATATATGTGTGTCACTAAGCTTGGTACAGTGGAGATAACAAATGGAAATATATCACTGGCTTTTCTCTTTTATTTGTACAAAGATAACAATGAGTAAAATATAGGATGGCCCGATGCAGAGAAAAGATATAAATGTGCAATTACTGGGGTTATATTATCATATACAATTATGGACTTTTGTGCTGGTGAATATGATGTGATATGAACCTGAAAGAGTGATATTGACTGAGGCGAAGCCGAGGTCAATATCACTCTTTCAGGTTCATATCACATCATATTTACCAGCACAAAAGCCCATAACTGTTTTATTACATGCTTCAACAATAAAATAAAACGAAACAAAACTAAAGGTTCTGATATTTGTACGCGAGCCTCCGTATAAAATTTAGCCAGGTTTGAATACAACAGTTCATCATTGTAGCTTTCGAAGGCATCGTCTATGTTCTTTTTCTTAAGATAAGCATGGAGGACATGCACTGCGTGTTCAATGGCCTTTTTTTTTACGTTAACAGCATCTTTATCCTCGAATAGTTTTGGTAATTTTCCTAATGGAGAAAAGACGTTCGCCAGCAGCCATCTTCTAATGTCGTCTGACAGATCGCGTTCCAGTCTAACTGCGCATGCGCTACAACAGGTTCCGGGGAATTTCCATACAAGCTATATTTAGAAATCGATATTCACCGGATAACCAGTCTACATGAGTTTTTGAGGACTGGTCACGTGTATAGGATCCGACCAATGTGATTGCGAGAAATGTTCATGCATATAATAATGGCTGTTAATTACTGTTCCACTAGCCCAATGTCCAGGGCTACCGTGCTAGTAGATTTTATGTCTGGGCCAGAGCCTGGCTTGTAGATGTTGCAAAATGTGTATGCAGGCCTATTGTACACCCCTGATCACATACAATTATATATACTTACAGAAATTGTTGATTTGTTAATTAATGGTGTTTATAGAGGAGATTTGACTGTTGACTAAAACAGTACCTGTTGTTTTGTTTTTTAATGTAGGTGCTCCAGGCGATTCTTCAGGATGGCTATCTACACAGCAAAGACAGCATACTTGCCATTCGCTGGTGTTCAGGGAGTGGCACTAAGGAGGGTGTGGTCAGTATTGGGGACATCAGCCTACCGCTGAGGAATGGGCGCGCTCCTGAACTGATCCCTGTCAAATATTTATCAGAGAACACACCTCAGTCCGTTCTTAGACACCTTCGATGGATCATGCAGAAAGATGCCATTGGTCAGGATGTCTTCCTTATTGGTAGGTATAGGTCAAGACAATATGTTCCTCTAGTGATAGGTGAGCCAATCTATATCCCTTACATGTAGACATGTACACATACTAAGCAGGAGGACTTACATTGTAGCTGTTCCACTTAAAGTTAGTAAAGGGATGAAAATTGAAATGATGAGCAACAACACCACTGATCTGGTACAAAATGTAATGTTTGATTTACATCCAGATTCAGTGGTGTTGTTGCTCATCATTTCTATTTTCATTTGCTCTACTTTCCCTTATGAGCACTGCTGATTACCATTAATGTATCCAACCCAGGATCCCTAGTGCCACTATGGAACTGACTTCCTTGCAGGGGTGTTGGGTCTCCACCCTACTGTTGTTAGTACAATGTATAGGGATGTTTGATTGAATTTTAGTTGTTCTTATAACTGATAAGTATTAGTATGATAGCAATGAGCTGCATACATATATATGCTTTGTCAGTACAGGTGTGTGTAAAGGGGAAGACTGTTTTTTTTTTTTTTCAATTTATTTTCAAAGTATTTTTCACATTACAATAACATATACATTTCATTATACATAATGAATTCCACTTTCACACATACTTTCATACTAATTAATATTGCTCTTTTTGTAAGTGGTATTTTATTTTTTTGTAATGTTATATTAGAAAGGAAGGAAAATCAGATAAGAGAAACAAGAAAACAAAGAAATAAAGTAAATAAAGATAGGTAAATGGACAGAAAGAAAGACAGACAGACAGACGGAAAGATAGACAGACAAGAGGAGAAGTACCAGTATTAAACAAACCAATTTAAAGGATAGAAGTCTGGTAAGACTATTTCTGTACATTGACACCTTGTTTATATTATTTCTTACTGGATAATCTGGAAAAAAAAGTTTTCAAAGTAGTTCAAACACATACATATTTTGGTTATTGATTTCTTTGTAATCTTAATTCATTTTTGGAATTATTCCACAAAAGATAGGGATTACTCCCCTTTAGCTGTCCTAGAAGTGTTGTCATATGTTGCTGTACTCACGGAATCTTCACAACATATATACAGTCTCTTCATGAGTTGAGCATCTGTGATTTAAACTTTTAGAATAAATAAATATGTTCTGCTTTCCCAACCTACTCTAGATTTTGGTGTCTCATCTTTATTTTTTCGTTATTTATATAAACAAATATTGTGTTTGACACTATTTATAACATTTGAAAAATATTTTTTGTAAATTAGAAAGCTTTGTCTGCCTACTAACCCTAATTTCGAGAGCTGAGCACAGCAATCATTTTGTGTCGCCTAAATCAACCTGTTCCTCATAGATTTGTATAAAGACAGCCTACATGATGGATGGTTTAGCCGTATTATGCTATAGTCTTTTAGTCTTAACATCATCATTGATTGTCCTGAAGTATCTTGAAGCTCTACACTATGTCTTCTACTTATTTATGTGTATAATTGTAAAGTTCTGAAACAGTTTACCTATACAAAAAATTCACACATAACTATCAACTGACCAGGGTTGAACTCCTGTGGTTAAAACAATGTATTTGCGTGAAACATGAACAGGTGCTTGCATGTGTAACTTCAGTTTTGTGAGACGTCTTCAAATGCTACTTGTTGAAAGTAGAGTTGCTGATTGTAAATCAAATAAAGCTATCTTGGCATCATATTGACCAAGATATTTTTGATTTGACAATTTCCATAGATTGGCCAAACTTTATACAATATTAACATTGCTCTGTTGGCCAACACCAAATGCTCTTATTGGTTTCTTTGGACGATCATGATCAATGCACAGTTAAAGGTTGACTGAGGCATTTTCAACTTCCTTTCAACCTCTGTCATGGGAGCTTTTTCAAAAACAGCTTTAGCAGATTTTCGTGAAGTGTAAAGGGCAGTTCTTGGGTATATCATAATGAGAATCTTGATGATTTCTTAAATACACAATGTGGTACCATTACAAAGAAAAATTGAGATGACAGACATTTCAGATATGACAACTGTAATGTTAGGTAAATATAGAATTTAAAATCCATATTTACAATATCACATTACATGTGTAAGACAGACGTGAGACGTGTGAAATGAGGAGGCAGGCAGAGAGCTGTTTACATCATAATCTTCTATTTATACTTATATGGGGTTCAAACGCATATAGATATAATGGAAGGATGAATACTTGATATAAGTATATCTATGTTGACAAAGCTCGTACATTCTATATGTAGGTCTAGAGGATGTATCACACCGAGGGCATCTAAGTATCCCTAGGTGGTCGGGATTTAAAATGTACAGATGGTGGTGTTGACCCCTCAGGGGGCTGAAGGGCGGGGCCAACAAGTGTAATTTGGCTATATTGATTTAAGCGACTTCTTTAACTTAGTGATGAATATCAACTATATTTTTGTTGGAAGCATCCCCTGGTGGTAGAGATTAATAATGGTACAATGGACAGGCTGACCCCTGGGATAAGGGGTAGGGTCAAAAATAGTGTATAACTTGGAAATAGTTAAGATCCCCACCCTATAACAATATATACAATTGTTGATCATGAGTATAAAGAGATGAATGCACATGTATATGATTCCAGGTTTGCTCTGGGGTCCGACCCCACCACTTAGTCCCTGGGTCATAACTTTGAAATGGTTGAGATACTCGCCCAAAACTAAACATACAATTGCTGAGCATAGACACACAAACACAATTATGATATTAGTATTGACCCTTGGGTCTGGCTACAAACCTAGGGACCTAGTTTCTGAGTCACAACTTGGAAACAGTTGAGATCCCAACCCCATAACCATAATACAGTCGCTGGGCATGACAAATCTAATACAGATATGCTACAAGGATTGGCCTTTGGGTCTGGCCCTATCCCTGGGATCTAATTTGGAGAGTATTTTGCCGTGATTGCTAAGATATCCAGGTGAGCAATACAGGCCCTCTAGGCCTCTTGTTTTATTTTGATTTCCTAGTTACAAAGTCCTCCAGAGATACTGTAAGAAGGATGATACACTTACACCTGATATCAAAATTAGCTTCAAAATTTTAAAGTTTTAGTTTCATTTTAAATTTGTTTTAAAACATTTAATGTTTAAAGTTTCCCACTCTGTATACTGAAATTCAAAAAAAACACCTACTTTAATCTGAAGTACCATTGATGTTTTTGTTTACAGTCTCATTAAAGATTATAAATAAATCAACATGTTGTCAAGCTTGAAAAAAAGTGTAAACACATTTGATTCCTCTCCTGTGTGGTATCATCAGTTTTGATTGTGAAGTCAAATTTCTATATACTGTCTGTACAGTGTAACAAGATTTGGAAGTACATGTAGGTCTGGATTTTGCTGGAAGAGAATTCTTCAATTTTGTGATTCCCATTGAGGTCGTGACACGGCATACACAATGTTTTCAGTGTAAAGGCCAGCGTCTAAAACAGGCATTCCTTGTAAATATTGCATACCATACCTACCACCACCGCTATTTCTATTGCATAACAGATCTGGCAATCTTAATGTCATTGTGATCTGTGTCGGTTCTCTATTGATCTGTTTCATCGACAATAAAAGCGCACAGGGGCCTGAATAGTTAGGTACAGTATTGATTAAGGTTTCCCAGACTAAACATGTACACAGGTGCCTGATCATAATATTGGTTTTTCAGACTAAACATGTACATAGGGGCCTGGTAATATTGGTTTTTCAGACTAAACATGTACACAAGGGCCTGAATAGTTAGGTACAGTATTGATTCAGGTTTCCCAGACTTAAAATGTACACAGGCACCTGATACTTTTGGTTTTTCATATTAAACATGTACATAGGGGCCTGGTAATATTGTTTTTTCAGACTAAACATGTACACAGGGGCCTGGTAATATTGTTTTTTCAGACTAAACATGTACACAGGGGCCTGAATAGTTAGGTACAGTCAGTATTGATTCAGGTTTCCCAGACTAAACATGTACACAGGCGCCTGATCATAATGTTGGTTTTCAGACTAAACATGTACATAGGGGCCTGGTAATATTGTTTTTTCAGACTAAACATGTACACAAGGGCCTGAATAGTAAGGTACAGTATTGATTCAGGTTTCCCAGACTAAACATGTACACAGGTGCCTGATAATATTGGTTTTTCAGACTAAACATGTACATAAAGGGGCCTGGTAATATTGGTTTTTCAGACTTAACATGTACACAGGGGCCTGCATAGTTAGGTACAGTATTGATTCAGGTTTCCCAGACTAAACATGTACACAGGCGCCTGATCATAATATTGGTTTTTCAGACTAAACATGTATATAGCGGCCTGGTAATATTGGTATATATTGGTGTATAGATGATACTTGTATAGGAAGGGTGTAAGGTGACAGTGCTTGGTATGTATGTATTATACTAGTATAGGAGGGATGTAAGGTGACAGTGCTTGGTATGTATATATTATACTAATGTAAGAGGGATGCAATGTGACAGTGCTTGGTATGTATATAGATTATACTAATGTAAGAGGGATGCAAGGTGACAGTGCTTGGTATGTATATATTATACTAGTATAGGAGGGATGTAAGGTGACAGTGCTTGGTATGTAAATATTATACTAGTATAGGAGGGATGTAAGGTGACAGTGCATGGTATATATATATTATGCTAGTATAGGAGGGATGAAAGGTGACAGTGCTTGGGCTGTATATATTATACTAGTATAGGAGGGATGTAAGGTTACAGTGCTTGGTATGTATATATTATACTAATGTAAGAGGGATGTAAGGAGTCAGTGCTTGGTCTGTATATATTATACTAGTACAGGAGGGATGTAAGGTGACAGTGCTTGGTCTGTATATATTATACTAATGTAAGAGGGATGTAAGGTGTCAGTGCTTGGTCTGTATATATTATACTAGTATAGGAGGGATGTAAGGTGACAGTACTTGGTATGTATGTATTATACTAATGTAAGAGGGATGCAAGGTGACAGTGCTTGGCATGTATATATTTTACTAGTATAGGAGGGAT